CGGCCCCACCGGGGCAGCCGGCCGGAAATGGCTGGTTCCTCATCGGTGGGAACAGCCACACGTTCATTAACGCGCCGTAGTTACTTTGCATTAAGTTTAGCACTCGCATAGCCAAGTACTAAATCGATGCGCAGTAACTGGTGCGGTACCGCTGGCACATGGCTTTTTAGTAACGCTAACTGCACAGTAGCCTAATACTACTGCACAGTAGCATATTAGCACGGGTTTTGCCCGGCGTGCTACTGCGCAGTAGAATTAAGGTACTGTGGAGTTAGCGTCTCATGTAGATGCGCCCAAGTCAGGGTGGACAACCCTCCAGGATTGCCCTGGAGCCCCCGGGAATTAGATATAAATCTCCAGGAGACTGCTGAGAGTCGCAGGAGGTAAAAACAAGATTCGTATTACAGCTTGAGATTTTGCGGTATTGTTCGGAGTACAGTAGATCGGTCGTGAATCTCGTTACGTCGCGCAATGAAAACTCCCGGACTAGATTCGGAGTTAGCAACCCCATCCTCCGTCCTGATGCTGCGTGTGGCACGGGATCTCCTGTCGATCAGACGTATCCGCTAGTGAAAACCACTAACTGCGGCGTCCTTGTGGCAAGCGGGGGCTCATCCCAGCCTTTGGAGAACCAAGTCACGGTTCCAGCCAGGGGACCTTTTCCCCTGCGTCATTAAAACGTCATTTCTCTTGAAGTCGGTTTTGGCTTAAAAAGAGACTTTGCCTTGCCCCAGCCGTCGGTAATGCAGGACGTCGCCTTGCCACAGTAATGCTTGCACTGCCTCAAAGCATTAGGGACAAAACCCTGCTAAAGGGGCGCTGGGCCGGTCCTAACTCGGTCTGCGGGGGACGGACTGTTTACTAAAGTATTCATGAGTGAGGGCTGGCATCTGGCCTCTAAACCCCCCTGACCTGATTTGGGAAGGCACTTCTCAGCCCTCGCAGCCTGAGGACTTCAGGAGGAGTTGGCGTGCTCTGTACTTCTGCTGTCGGGTCACTTTTTTCCTGGGGTTTGTCCAGCTCAGGTTTCCTCCTGGGAGTTTCCTCGGCCGCAATGACGGTGTTCACCCCGGGGTGGAAGGGGCTGCGGGAGCGTGGAGGGCCGCGAATGCTCGGCATGCACTGGTCCTGTCCTGGGGGGGCTCAGTCGGCTTCTTCAGTGGGACCAGTCACAGGCTGAAAGGTCCCTTTTGAGTCCAGGCAAGCGCTCGGGCGCTTGGCTCCAGGCAGGGCTGACCAGGGATGCTTGAGGCCCAAATCGCGGGGCGGAGGGGACGGGTGGGTTCTGGCAGCCGAGGTGCAACCCTGGGCGCTGGCTGTACGAGGGAGGTAATAGCCGTGCAGGGAGCCGGGGAAGCAGCCGCGGAGGCCCTCTCCTACAGGGCGCTGCCTAACCACTTCTGCCTCTCTCTGTGCTCGCAGCTCTGTTGAAGATGCACTGGACACCAGAGCATGCCCAGCCCCTGAACCAGTGGCCGGAGCAGCACCTGGACGTCTCCTCCACGACCTCGTCGCCAGCCCACAAGTCGGACCTCTACCACAGCAGCCGGCAGCGGTTCAACTATGCCTGGGCCAATGACGACATCTCTGCGCTGACGGCGTCCAACCTCCTCAAGAGGTATGCGGAGAAGTACTCGGGGGTGCTGGACTCGCCCTACGAGAGGCCGGTGCTGAACAGCTACGGGGATGGGGCCTTCGGGCCCATCAACGGGCAGAAAGGAGACGTGGAGCCGTGGCCCATGCCGCACGGCTCAGACAGCGCTTACCCCCTGAACCCCATGCACGATGGACTGCCCGGCTCGAAGGGGGTCGTTCCCGCAGCGGTCACCCCCGGGAACGGGCCCGTGGGGCTCGGCAGCTCCCCCGTCGTCCCCGGGAACCTGTCTGACCCCATTTATCCCAGTAACTCGTGTGGCGGGGCCACCACGTCCAGCGGCCTCGGGTCGTCTCAGGAGTTTAGCTCAGGCTACAGCAGTGCCTACTTGCCATCGGGCTACTGCAGCCAGCCCACCACAGCACTTCCCCCCCCGCACCCCTCCAGCCTGCACGGCTCCGGACTCCTGCAGCCCGCGCACCCCCCCCCCGCACTGCTCTCCAGCTCCAGCTCCCCTC